TAGTGGTATGGTTGAATTTAGAGTTGTTTCGAAGGATTTCTTGATTGAATGTTTTGTGAACTTGTGCAGAATTATATTGTTGTTTGTGTTAGATGCATTCAATGAGTATCTGTTGTCCCTGCTTGTAGCCATTCTGGGATATTCTTTAAGCGATGGGTAGTTATTTGTAAGGAAGTTTTTGAGAGGAGAACATCACTGAAATTAAGATAGGGAACTTGTAATTGTGATTTTAGTTGTTGATGGCTGAATAGTTTGGATGAGGTCTGAACCTTGCGTGAAGTCAGAATGTTAAAATTGTTAGGTTTTTCGATCGAGTGAAATAAAGGTCCATTTTTGTAGTATGGAATGGCGATTAGATTGAGTTTCATGGGTGGATAATATTTATTCGAATATTTGAAAGTGCTCAGATGTGAGAGTTGATCATCTGGTCAAATTGAGTTGGTAGTTGTAGTTACATTAACGTTAGCGTTTATAGCAGCACTGTTCAACGTACCGGTAGCCAGANTGAGTTGGTAGTTGTAGTTACATTAACGTTAGCGTTTATAGCAGCACTGTTCAACGTACCGGTAGCCAGAAGCATTCCACTCCACTACCATGGATGCCACTTCTTCGCAATTCGTCTTCGTCTGCCGGAGGTCCTCAAGGTCCGGCGCCTGCAGGTCCCATTAACCCGGCCTTCTCGCACTTCCAATCGGCCATTCGTCAGCAGTCACTTTCCGGACGACCGTCTCCAGTGCCTCAGTTAGCGTTAGCTTCAGCGGCGAAAAATCCGCTAACGGTGCAGAACAATCCTCCGAAATCGGTGAGCTCAGGCTCAAGTAGTGGTGGCTCCCTTTCGGCTGCACCGTCCAATTCTATCGGTCCTAATCGAACCGCGGTTCGTCAGAATCTAGGCTCGAGCTCGGGTCAGAGCAAGTTCGGGAGCGCATCTACGACCGCACCGTCATTTGTAGATCGAGAACGAGTAACAAATACGACAAGTTATCTGCCAACAAGGTTCATTGATAGTTTGTTTGGCTTTATAATATCTATCTAATGAGTGAAGTTATCAATAATGCTATTTGTGTTATTATTAGTTGTTTATGTTATATTATTTATTATTGTGATGTTGTGAGGAGTATTGTTATTGTATAATTATGCTGTTGATGTTGTGCAATAATTATGTTGCTATTGCAATTCACGCTGCTTGAAGATATTTTCTCGTTATTCTTGTTANATGTTGTGCAATAATTATGTTGCTATTGCAATTCACGCTGCTTGAAGATATTTTCTCGTTATTCTTGTTATAATACTGTTATCGTAGACGGTATCGCGCAAGCTTCAGCAGTAACCTTGTAACGCCACAATAGTTCTTCTGCTACAATTTTTTGAGGCTAATCGCTTGAAGTAGCTATTATCATTCGAGTTTTAATTGGCAATACCCGAGCTTTGCTTGATTGCTTGCTTGTATTTTGAATTTATTATATTTTAATGGTTATGGTGGAGGTACTAGGAATAACAGTATTGTGTGCTGGTTGTATTGGGTGCGATGAGGTGATAATAGGTTTTGCTTTTCAACTTCTCTTCCCCATCCGGCTCGTTAGCGCTACCTGCAAATTCTATTACGCTAAAGGCTAATCGCTCGTAATTCTCTTCTCTCAAAAGATTACCTATGGATTAATGTTATCTTAAACTTACGCTAGATGTTTTCTTTTGTTTTATTGCATGGCTTCCATGGGAGAGTCAGCTTTTAAGCAGTTGAAACGAGTGAAATATGTAGTATA